GTCACCGTGGGCGTATGGGACGGTGACACTGTGTGAGGCCGTGTCACCGTGTGCGGGAGGGAGGGAGCCTGTGGTGATGTGTGGGACGGTGACTCTGTGTGTGAGGCCGTGTCACCGTGGGCGTGTGGGGCGGTGACACTGTGAGGCCGTGTCACCGTGTGCGGGAGGGAGGGAGGCTGTGGTGATGTGTGGGACGGTGACTGTGTGTGAGTCCGTGTCACCGTGTGTGAGGGGGCCTGTGGGAGTGTGGGACGGTGACTCTGTGAGGCGTGTCACCGTGGGCGTGTGGGACGGTGACACCGTGTGAGGTGTGTCACCGTGTGGATGTGTGAGGGAGCTCGTGGGTGTGTAGACAGCGATGCTGGGTATGAGACCGTGTCACCGTGGGAGTGTGGATGGTGACACTGTGTGAGACTGTATCAACATGAGAGTGTGGACAGTGATGCTGTGTGTGAGGCCATGTCACCGTGGGAGTGTGGGACTGTGGCACTGTGTGAGGCCGTGTCACTGTATGAGGGAGTGAGGGAACCTGTGGTGATGTGTGGGACTGTGACTCTGTGAGTCCGTGCCCCCTTGTGTGAGGGAGCCTGTAGGAGTGTGGGACAGTGACTCTGTGTGTGTGAGGCCATGGGAGTGTGGGACTGTGACACTGTGTGACGCCGTCACCGTGTGAGGGAGCCCATGGGCGTGTGCAACTGTGACACTGTGTGAGGTGTGTCACCGTGTGGGGTTGTGAGGGAGCTCGTGGGCGTGTGGATGGCGATGCTGGGTGTGAGGCCGTGTCACCGTTTGTGTGTGGGATGGTGACACTGTGTGAGGCTGTGTCACCGTTTAAAGGAGTGACAGAGCCTGTTGTGCTATGTGGGACTGTGACCATGTGAGTCCATGCCACCGTGTGTGAGGGGGGCCAGTGGGAGTGGGAGACGGTGACTGTGTGTGTGAGGCTGTGTCACCATGGGCGTGTGGATGGTGACACTGTGTGTGAGACTGTATCAACATGGGAGTATGGACAGTGATGCTGTGTGTGAGGCCATGTCACCATGGGAGTGTGGGACTGTGACACTGTGTGTGAGTCTGTGTCACCATGTATGAGGGAGCGTTTAGGAGTATGGGTCTGTAACGCTGTGTGTGTGAGACCATGTCAGTGTGAAGATGACTGAGGGAGCCTGTGGGAATGTGGGACTCAACACTGTGTGTGAGGCCATGTCACCATATGAGAGAGCGAGGGAGCCTGTGGTGATATGCAGGATTGTGACACTGTGTGTGTGAGGTTGTGTCACTGTGTGTGAGGGAACCTATGGCATTGTGTGGGATGTGACACTTTGTGTTTAAGGTCATGTCACTGTGTGACAGTGTGAGACTGTGCCTCTGTGTGTGTGACCTGTATGCATGGGATGTATGAAACTGTTTGGCAGTGTGTGAGAATGGTGACAGTGTGTTTGACTTTATGAACAGAGTTTGACTATGTGTAGGATCATGTGAGACTGTGACAGTATGTGAGAAAATGTCAGCATGTGAGAGGCTGTATGTGATTGTGGACAGTGTGGGACTGTTGGTATGAAACCTTGTGAGACTGTGTGACAGTATTTGAAAATGTATGTGACAGTGTGTGATGTGAGTGGGACAGTGAGTTTGTATGAAACTGTGTGATTATGTGAGACTGTGTGAGATTGTGAGACCTAGCACTGTCATCCTGACAGTGTGACAGTGTGACCTAGAATCGCCTTGAATGACCCATTGTGAGGGTGACAGTGAGCTATAGCATGGGGGCATGTCCACAGGCTGCCAGAAGAGGTGCTGGAATGAGGGCTTGTATGATTTGTCTGTGGTTTGTTTGGTAGGCAGGAGGCTGGGTGGGTGGTTGGGAGTGCTAGTGTACTCTGGGGTTTGGGAGACTGCTGTTGTAGGGGACAGACAGAGGTTGAGATGAAGGGAAAAGGTGGACAGGGGGAGAAGAGAAAAGAGCTGGAAAGCCGGAGAGACACTGAGAGAAGAGCCCCAGCTTTAGTCCTAGAAAGCCAATGGGGCTGCTGTGTCTTGGTTGTTTCTGGCGCAGAAGGAAGGTTTTTCCATCCTTCTTGTAGTCTCTGAGGCATGTGAGGAATTGAAGAGGAAAATAAAGGAGAGACTTACTATGTCCTCTTCATGAAAATAAATCACAGAATAACTAAAACTTACTTAGTTCAAACGATGTTCTAAGCACTGTGCTAAATGCTTTATGTGAATCATTTCAAGATCCTCCCAACAGTTAATAGGGAGTAGTTACCATTTCACTGATAAGGAAACAGGTTTGGAGTAGTTACCTAACTTGCCAGAGGTTGTATAGGTAATGAGCGGTAGAGCTGGCCAGGCATTCTGATCCCCAAAACTAGCAGTTTGTTTACCACTGAATTATGCTGTTTCTTAGGTAATGGCTTTGCTCCTTAAGGCAGTAAGTTCTAGTGGACAAGAACTCATGATTAGGAGGTTCTGATGATTGTTCCTGTATAGCTTACTCCTCCCTCTTTTTCTCTTTGAGAAAATTGCTCAGAAAAGTCAAGAAATTAAGTCATACCAGAAGTAGGGTGTCCTGATTCTTCGGTCCAGTGTCCTCTAAATCACTTGGCTCTTCTGATGGCTACTCTGTAAAGATGCTTTCTTTGAGGCATTTATTTTGTAGCTTTATCACTTGTCTTTGCAGGAAGGGTAGGGACATATTTCCTTTCAATGCTGTCATCTAGTGGTAAAACTAAAAAAGACCTGGTTTCCAGTTTGGTTCAATTACTTATTACCATGATGCCTTGGATAATTTCACTGATGAAGTGAGCCTTCATGTATGAAAGAGGGGAAAAAAATTCCTTGCTTGGTTATACCATTCTGTAATTGCTAATTATCATTTATAATTGTAAATAAGTAGGAAACTTATACACAGAAAATGTATATTGTATTCTTAAGATCTTTATAAAGCATGAGGGTAACATAATTGTAAATTTAGATATGAAGGACTTGTTCAGTGACACCGCTAATCTCCTGAAATGGGGAGAGGAGAAAGAGACAGAAATAGAGTTTCTAGACTGGTGATGCTGGGAGCTTCAGGGCAAGCCTGGCATTTTATGGTTTCTTTTTCTTCCTCCAGCTCTACTTTCTCAGGATACTGCCCCTCTCCTAGAGAGGAACCTGAAGGAGGAGGACAGAAGAACTCATAAACTCTTACATTTTTAAAGCCATGTCCAAGGTAAGGAAACATTTTTTCTCTCTTCCCTGAAATGCCATCTTATTTTTAGGTTATATGAACTTTTGCTTTTCTTCCCAAATTCTCCCAGCCTAACAAAGTTCTGCTCATTCAGTGATTTGCTACTCATATCTTCCTTTCCAGTAACAGGAAGTCCCCCAAAACCCAGTGATCTTCCTTTTTTCCCCACAGTCAGGATTTCATCTTCACTGAAGAAATAGTTCAGCATCTTCCTATTGATTCAGTGTTCTCTTAGGAGCTCTCAAGAGGCAAATATACACTCATTGGTAGGATATGAAAGACTTCATTTTAGTGACTTGATTCATTGAGGTCAAAGCATATGTTTAAATGTGATTGTTAGCATAGATCTTTTCCAGACCTGGGTTTGAAAGGAAGGCAAGTCAGGAGGACTGTTAGGTGGTCTTAGTCTTAGAACTGGGCAAGGTGTCTTGCTCAAGGTGATTTTGAGGAGTGGGATGTACTGGGTCTTGAGTATTAAAATGTGGATTAGGCTGGGATCCATGGCTCAGCCTGTAATCCCAGCACTTTGAGAGCCGAGGCAAGTGGATTGCCTGAGCCTGTGGGTTCAATACCCGCCTGGGCAACTTGGCAAAACCTCATCTCTACAATAAATCAAAAATTAGCCGGGTGAGGTAGCTCGCACCTGTAGTTCCGGCTACTTGGAAGGCTGAGATGGGAGGATCGCTGGAGCCCAGCAGGTCAAGGTTGCGGTGGCCAGGAGCGTGCCACTGTACTCCAGCCTGGGTGACAGAGTGAGACTCCAACTCAGAAAAAAAAACAAAACGGTGGATTAGCTAGTGCGGGGACTTTTCAAGGCACTCTTTGGGCTCTGAAGAGTAGTATTCCATGGGAATAATGAGGTCCCATTTTAGGGATATCTTGAGTTTGTAACAAGCCATAGTTATGATATTTTAGATCATCCAGATAAGATTAGTGGAATTAATATGGAAAAACAGGGTATTTTTTGAAAGAAAAGAGTAATGGGAACACTGGAATTTAAATTCTTTTTAAAAGGTACATAAATTTATAATATTGGAAACAGTAAATAGTGTGGAATGGGGGCCAGAAGAAACTAATGAAAAGATCAGTATATAATTTTGAGAAACATGTGCTAATATATGAATTCCATAAGAATGGAAAAATGTTTATACGTTTACTGAATGTATAGGTATTAATGACTGTGTACTGAGTGCTGTGGTAAATAAAAATAGACACTGTCTTTGTCTTCATAGAATTTACTGTTTACTAGTTTGCTTATTATCTGATAATGTACTTATATTTTAAAGGATGGGAGAAGGGATGGATTATTAGAAAAAAATTCCTCACACTTAGAGGAAAATACATAGATGCTAAATGCATTCAGTAAGTTAAATATAAAAAAAAAAACACAAACTTCTAGCTCAGAATATTGAGAATGATTGTAAAGAACAGGGTGAGGCAGGTGCAGAAATCTGTTAGTGCAGCATTGTCCAACAGACCTTACTCTGATGATTGATAGAACTGTCCTATATATGCACTGTTCGGTACAGTAGCCACTAGCCACATGTGGCTATGGAAACGTGTGTGTGTTAGCATTACTGAAAAACTGATTTTTTTCTTAAATTTTCTTATATTTTCTTAAAATTGTTTTCATCTGGCTTTGTGACATGAGAAAAATATATTTATAAATATGTGTGTATATATAATAGATACATATATTTATATATGTTTGTGTTTGCGTATGTGTGTATGTGTGTGTGTATATATATATATATTTTGTTTTGTTTTGTTTTGTTTTTTTCCTTTTTGTTTCCAAGTGCAGGTGGGTGGGGAGTAAGGAACTGAATTTTTAATGTTAATTTATTTAAATTGTATTTATTTATTTATTTTGAGTAGGAGTCTCACTGTCACCCTGGCTGGAGGTGCAGTGGCACGCTCATGGCCATCATAGCCTCAACCTACTGCGCTCAAGTGATCCTTCCACTTCGGCCTTCCAAGTAGCTGGAACCACAGGCACATGCTCCCATGCCTGGCTAATTTCTTGATTAATTGTAGAGATGCCTAGTTGCCTAAGCTGTTCTCGGATACCTGAACTCAGGCAGTCCTCTTGCCTCTGCCTCCCAAAAGTATGGTTTAAATTTGAATAGCCATATGTGGCTAATAGCTAGTGTGTTGGACAACACATACCTAGACTTGTAAAATGATAAAGCTAGGATGAAAATTGTTGGTGATCTTGCCCAAATTACTTATTTTACAGATAGGGAAAAAGACGCCAAGGGAGAAAAGTGCCATGGCCTAGTTAGTTAGTGCCTAGACAGATATAAGAAGTTGTAATATGCATTGAGGGTCAGTAACATAGATGATGGTGAGTGATGATATGAAGAGGGTGATAGAAAATGATGTAGAACACTGTGGAGAGACTGCAGTGGGGCTCATTATTTCACTTCCCTGCCCAGAACCTTCATTGGCTTCCCATCTTACTTGGAATGAAATCCAGTGTCTTTGCCATGGCTTATAAGGCCCTATGAGCTCCAGCTCCTGGCTACCCCAGACCTCATTTGCTACAAATCTTTACCTCCCCTCACTTCAGTCACAATGATGAACTTGCCATTCCTCAAACTTGTGCTGTTTCCTGTCTTTGAACTTTTGCATTTGCTCTCCCTCTCTCTCCCCCTACATGTTAGCATAGCTTGCTCTCCAATTTTATTCAGATTGTTGGTCAAATATTATCTCTTCATTTAGGCTTACCTTGACCACCTTATCTTCAATAAACACCCTTGTCACTCTCAATTACCTTTTACCATCTTTTGCTTTTTTTCATAGTATTTAACACTTCCAGACATTGTATAACCTTATTTTTAATGTCTTTCTCCTTTATTAGACTATAACTCCATAGGGGAGGGACTTGTTTTGTTTACTTTTGTGTTCCTGACTTTTAGACTAGTGCCAGATAGGTAGAAGGCATTTAGTAAATCTTTGACAAATAAATATATTAGTTAACAAATGAGTGAATTCTGTGTCTGTGGGTGAGAACAGGATGACAATTATCAGTCACCCCTTCTTTCCTGCCACTGAATTGGTCATGGAAGATGAAAAAAGCAAAGGGCATGATGTACAGAATAGATAGAACCTATCAGCCCAAATGTTGTTTCCAGGACCCCACCCCAGACCTGAATCATAGCCTCTGGTGTTGGGACCTGGAAAAACAAATTTTTATTTGGTTTCCCAGGATTTTTTTTTTTTTTTTTTTTTTTTGAGACAGGGTCTTGCTATATTGCCTAAGCTGGTTTTGAACTCCTGGCTTCCAGCAATCCTCCTGCTTCAGCCTTCTGAGTAACTGGCATTACAGGTGCCCAGAGTGACGTTAAGGCACACCTTTGATAAACTCTGCTTCTAAAGATTATGTTTAAAGTATACCTCTTGTAAACAGCATATAGTTGGTTGGTTTCTAAATATTTAGCCTGATAATCTTGGTCTTTTAGTTAGTGTTTAGTACATTTTTGACGTATGTAATTACTTGTAGATAGGTGTTTATGCTTATCATATTTCTGTTTGTTTTCTATTGATCTCATTTGTTTTGTGTGCCTTTCTTTTTTTTGCCTTATTTTGATGAAATCAGTTATTTTTCTTTGTTATCTTACTAAATATATATACTTTGTATTATTCTTTTAGTGGCTATTCTAAGATACTATGAATCTATAACTCATTATGTACTAATCTTTCTTTCTTGTATAGTCTTCTTCCTGTAATTAGTAATCTAACCACTTCCTGGACAGGATAAGATACCTGTAGTAATTTAACTCCAAGATATTATTATTGCAGTAAGTCCCCTACATACGAACAAGTTCTGTTCTGAGAGTACATTTGTAAGTCCAATTTGTTCGTAAGTTCATCAAAGTTAGCCTTGGTATCCAGCTAACACAATTGGCTATACAGTGCCAGGTACATCACCACTGCTTTTTCACTTGCTTCTGGATACCCTGGACTTGAAATACAGACATTGTTTTACTGTATTCTATACAGTATTGTACAGCAAAGTACACAAAAGCACAACCACTTGTAGAGGATGTATACATGTGACAATGTATGCCAAACATGTGAACTAACTTATGTGATTGGACATGCGAACGTATGTTCACATCTTTGAAAGTTCACAATTGGCAGGTTAGTATGCAGGGGACTTACTGTATTATATTTAGTTTATAGTTGCTGTTTTAGAGTTCAGTTTCTTCCTATGTTTTTGTGTTCCAATTTCCTTTTATTTCTATTTCCTTCCATTTTACTTCTCCCTGAAGAACTCCTATTAGTATTGGTTTGAGTGTAAATCAGCACTTTACTCCCAGACTGAATTACTTTTTCATGAATTCCTATTCTTGCTGGGTCAAAATAGTGTAATTTGAATTTTTTTCTGAAGTTAAGTAAGTTTGGGAAATCCTAGTTTCAATAGTGAGAAGAACTTCTAGGAATCTCTTAAGGTAACAGAGATCTGTGCAGCGTCATAGTGGAAAATTATGATTCACCTAACTAAAAATAAACATGGTATAAGATATGGCATATTTATACCAAGTAATAATATTCAGCTGATAAAAGTGATATTACAGATAAATGAAATATATAAATAATCACAGACATGTCTGCATAAGTATAAGGAAACATTGGAACAAATATATACTAACTAAATTATGATTGCTTCTAGGAAGTAGGGTGATATGAGGTAAGTGTGGAGTGGAAGACTTCCTATTCTTTAACTTAAAAAAGGGAATAATCATGAAAGGTCAAAATAGTGGACATTAATTTTTAAGTTTCTCTAGTGATGACAAAATTGTATGAAATTTATTTTTTAAATCAAATCAAAATAGATACAAAAATTTAAAGGTATTCAAATCTCATTGACTGAGAGGAAAATGTCAGACAGTCAAAACTTGGAATACATTAGTTCATGTGTGCAGGTAAAAAAAAAGTATTTTAAGAAGTTTACCTAGCAAAATCTACCTCATTTCTGCCTACGGAAAAAATGATGTGTACGCAATACTTTTTGTTGCACAATATTTTAAACAGTTGGTATTGAAGTGTTTGAGTTTCAATAGAATTGGTGATAGGCAGTGCCCAATCCTATATAGCATAAGTTTCAATTTTTAGACCAGACTTATGTTCCCTTTCTTCCTTGAAACCTTAACTCACTTCCTCAGATTCTTTGTATTAAGAAGTATTTCAGAGATATAAACATCTTTAAATGGCTAATGCAGCCGGGCTTGGTGGCTCAGCCTGTAATCCCACGCTTTGGGAGGCTGAGGTGAGTGGATTGCCTGAGTCCACGGGTTCGAGACCCACCTGGGCAACTTGGCGAGACCTCATCTCTACAATAAATAAAAAAATTAGCCAGGCGTGGTAGCACGTGCCTATAGTTCCAGCTACTTGGAAGGCTGAGGCGGAAGGATCGCCAGAGCCCAACAGGTCGAGGCTGCAATGCCCAGGAGCGGCCACTGCACTTCAGTCTGGGCGATAGAGTGAGACTCTAACTCGAAACAAAAAACAAAAAAAAATAACTAATGCATATGATTGATGTTCTTAGAACCATACTTTTCTTCTTTCTTTATAGATAACCTCCTTAATATTTTTGTGCATTACTCTAGCTGGAATCCTAGAGGCTGGTGCCATGGTGGTTACTAACCTCCAGTAGGTGGATTGTGGGGAAATCTGGTGTGGTCACTAGCAGGACTCAGTGTATAACTGTTTGCAAACCAGTGTGGCAGTATTTTAGTATTTAACAAATCAGTACAGCTATTCAGGTGTTTACTGTTGAATGTCATCTTTATGTCAGCCCAGCTTAACAGCAGGCATTGCCTTGAGACATGTCAAACCTAAGAAGTATATGCCAAAATACACAGCGGGTTCTGATAAGTCTAGAGCAGATTTATCTTGTAAGGAAGACCTGTCATTTTGAATTTTTAGGACAAAAACTAGGTCTCATTGCATGTTATCATAAAGATCTTTTATTCAACATGCAGTAGTAGTATTTGAGAGCTGTAAATAACATTTTAAAAACTCTCTTACTCGTTAGACATGCACAAGAACATGTTCCTCTAGTGAAAGCTGTAGCTATATTCTGATGCATTTTATTATCAGACTTGGAAATATTCACTATTTAAGTTAATTAATAGTGCTTCAAATCACTATTATTTTGTCTCTTATGTAGCATAAGTTACCAACTGTCTTTGAAGCTTCGTGAGGTTATTAAGAACTATTAGCCAATAATTTGTTGCCTTTTACACATGGTCTATTGACAGTTTTTTTTCTAGAGGAAATTCATCCCAAGCTCAAATAACTTTTATTGTACATCTTTGAGTTCTTCTTAGTGGGTGTGGGTTATGGGGATTCAGACATTTAAGAATACCCTTCTCAGACATTAGAAGTCAAAGGCCTTGAGATAAACTTCATCTTGTGTATGTCAACTTTTTGCTTTCTTGTTTTGAATCAGATAACTTTTTTTTTCTCTTAAAGACAGGGTCTTGCTATGTTGCTCAGGCTGGACTCAAACTCTTGGGCTCAAGTGATCCTCCTGCTTCAGCCACCTGAGTAGCTGGTACTATTGGCATACCTGGTCTGATTCATACATGGTCTGACTCCAATACCTTTTGTAATGTGAAGGTGTCATTAATTTAAACCATATACCTTCGAGTCATTTAAACCATCTATAAGGGAGGAGTTCATGTAAAACAAATGTTTAATGTACAACAAATAAAAGATGCAGATTGCAATTGTGAGACATGTAACAATGTGAAAAATATGTAATACTTATTTTAAAATATGTAAGATACATGATGGCATGTATAACTTTGGCAACTGGTTGACAAATGTTGTCTTTGCCACCAAGCGCAAATTCAGTGGTATACTTCCACACATCAAATGATCTGCTTCTCAACTTCCTGTTATGCTCTGTTACAGCATGCATTTAAGTCATATTTTGCAAGTCACTATAAAACTTGTATACTGTTTCTATTACATAAATATTTAATTTCAGTCAATATTAAATCATAAAATATAGTTATATATATTTGTACTTAACCCATATTGATATGTCTGGAACACTGACCATTCCATTGTATAGAGTTTGGAAAAATGTCATTTTAGACTATATACATCGTATAAGGCTTAACTCATGGCTTGTTGCCTCCTTGAAGCCTTTCTTTACTGCCCCAGTATATCCTGGTTTTCCCATATTGTGAAATTCTCTGGCATTTAGTATGAATAGCATTTTATACTTAATTGTTTATAGTGTTTGGTTATTTCCAATTTTATGTATGTGTTATAAATCTTTTCTCTACCCAGTAGAATTATCTCTGAAACTGTACTTTCCATGGCAGAATATCAAAACTAAGCATAGAAAAGTTATTTGGAAATTACTTGACATGTGTTGCTCAGAACCTAAGATACTGTTAGAAAATTTTGCTATCTGCAATGTTTCTCTCTAAAAACATAGACAATTTAGCTCTTTAACCTAGGCCCATGTGAGGGTATGAACACTAATTAAACAATAATATGTTTATGTCATCTCAGGATTTGGTGACATTTGGGGATGTGGCTGTAAATTTCTCTCAAGAGGAATGGGAATGGCTGAACCCTGCTCAGAGGAACTTATACAGGAGGGTGATGTTGGAGAACTATAGGAGCCTAGTGTCACTGGGTAAGGAAGTCTTCTCATAATTCAGAATCTGCACACAGGACTAAGCTCCAGTGTAATGTTTGGGAGGCCTCTGATGTGCTCCACTAAATTTCTCTTACTTGTGCTTCCCAGAATAGATTCAGTTTTGTAGAATTGGTTGCTTCATTAGACTATTCTTGCAACGTCATCCTCTCCATTCCTCAGAATACTTCTCTTCTTCCTCTAATCCCTTCTATAAAGCCCCCACCTTCCTAATGACCCAAGAACTTGATTTGACTTATAGTTCTGGCTGATTCCCTTTTTATTTCTTATAAGCAGGAGTTTCTGTTTCTAAGCCAGATGTGATCTCATTATTGGAACAAGGAAAAGAGCCTTGGATGGTGAAGAAGGAGGGAACAAGAGGCGCATGCCCTGGTAAGAGAGACATAGGGACCTAAAACCCATTGCCAGAAAAAGCTCAGCTATTCTGAAAGGTTTTAGTTCATAATTGATGTTTCCTAGATAACTTTTCTTAAAAACTCAAGGCCTAGGAAGAAACATTGTGGCAACTTTAGCATGAGCTCCCTGATTTATTCTTTTTGTATACTCTCATATGTTACTGTCTTCTCTGATAACACACTTTCCTATTCTCTGGGTCTGTATGTTACAGCATCTCCTTGTCTTTACCTTTTAGTTTTGTACAGGTTGCTTCATTCCAGTAAAAAAAAAAAAAAATCCAGACACTTAAAAAAAAAAAAAAATTTAAGCCGGGCTCCGTGGCTCAGCCTGTAATCCCGCGCCTTTGGGAGGCTGAGGTGAGTGGATTGCCTGAGCCCACGGGTTCGAGACCCGCCTGGGCAGCAAGACCTCATCTCTACAATAAATCAAAAAATCAGCCAGGTGTGGTAGCACGCACCTGTAATTCCGGCTACTCGGAAGGCTGAGGCGGAAGGATCGCCGGAGCCCAGCAGGTCGAGGCTGCGGTGGCTGGGAGCGGCCACTGCACTCCAGTCTGGGCGACAGAGTGAGACTCCAACTCAAAAAAAAAAAAAATTTAAATTTAAAATTTTCCTTTCACTCAAGAGTTGTTTAAAAGAGAGTTTTCTGGTTTTATTGTATTTGAAAAGACAGTATTATTATAAAGGGATTATTTACATACAGTAAGCTGTAGCCATATAAATTGTATAATTTGATGAGTTCTGACATTGCATACATCCATGGAAACCATTACCACAATCAAGATACAAAGCATTTCTGCCACCCTAAAAGATTGCTTTATATCCATCCTGTTCTTCACCCCCAGTTCCAAACAAACACTAATCTGATCTTTGTCATTTTAAGTTAGTTTGCATCTAAACTAAATGGAATCATACAGTATATACTTCGTTATATCTGGCTTATTTCATTCAGCATACTGATTTTGAAATTCGTTCACATTGTTATATGTATGACTAGATTATTTCTTTTATAGCTGACTACTGTTCCACTGAATAGTATCCATTTTGTTTTTGTTTATTTGTTTACCTGGTCATGGACATTTTGGTTGTTTCCAGTTTTGGACTATTATAAATAAAGTTGCTGTAAAGCTGTCATGTATAGGAATTTTTGTGGACATTTATTTTCATTCTTCTTGGGTAAATACATAATAGTGGAAGAACTGAGTCTTATGACAGGTATATGTTTAACTTTGTTAGAAACTGTCAGTTTTCTAAAGGGATTGTACCATTTCCTCTAACAGTATATGAAAATTCCAGTTGATGTTCATCCACACCAAATCTTGGTATTGCCACTAGTATTTTTAGTTTTAATTGTTCTGTTGGTTGTATTGTGGTTTTAATATGCGTTTCTGGGATGACTAATAATGTTGAGCATCTTTTCATATGCTTATTGGTCATCCATATCTTTCATGAAGTGTTTGTTCAAACTTTTTTGCCCATGTTTTATTGTGTTATTTGTCTTCTTACTATAGGGTTGTAAGAGTTCTCTATATAGTCTTAAGCAAGTCATTTATATTATTGGAATTTATGTATGCCACTGTGGCTTGCCTTTTCTTTTCTTTTTTTTTTTTTGAGTTGGAGTCTCACTCCGTCGCCCAGACTGGAGTGCAGTGGCCGCTCCCAGCCACCGCAGCCTTGACCTGCTGGGCTCTGGCAATCCCTCCGCCTCAGCTTTCCAAGTAGCTGGAACTACAGGCACGCACTACCACGCCCGGCTAATTTTTTTTTTTTTTTAATTTAAGGTAGAGATGAGGTCTCACCAAGTTGCCCAGGCTGGTCTCGAACCTGCGGGCTCAGGCAATCCACTCACCTCAGCCTCCTAAGGCATGGGATTGCAGGCTGAGCCACCGAGCCCGGCTACCTTTGCTTTTCTACTGCAGTTTGTAGTCAAAGTTTTCAACCTTTGTAAAATCCAATTTATTGCTTTGTTTTGATTTATGCTTACTGTGTCATATCTAAGACATTCTTGCTACTACTAGGTCACAGATGTTTTCTATTTTTTTTTTTAAATCATTTTAGCATTTACATTTAGCTTTGTGATCTCTTTTGAGCTAATTTTTGTATCCTGTGTTAGGTAAAGTTTGAGGTTCATTTTTCTTCCATATACAGTTGCTCCAATAACCTTTGTTGGGAAAGATTTTCCTTTCTCAGTTGTATAGCTTTGCTACCTTACCTGAAAATCAGTTGATCACACATGCGTGAATCTAGTTCCAGACTCTATTCTGTTCTACTGATCTCTGTAGGATATCCTTTCATATTGTCTTGATTATGTAGCTTTATAGTAAATTTTGATTTTACAAATTGACAGTACAATTTGTAAAATTGCTTCAACTGTTTTAGGTTATTTACATTTTATATAAATTTTAGAATGAAATTGAGAATTTCTACTCAAAAAACTTGGATTTTGTTTGGGATTATTTTGAATCTATACATCCATTGGGAGAGAATTGACATAACATTTGAGTCTTTTGAACCAGGAGTGGTAGCTAATGCCTGGGGAGGGGAAAGTGGGAAATGCTTCAGGACAGGAATTTGAGACTAGCCTGGGAAACATAGTGACACCCTGTTTGTATAAAAAATAAAAAATATTAGCCGGGCTTGGTGGCATACTCTTGTAGCATGATCCCAGCTACCCAGAAGGCTGATGCAGAAGGGTAGCTTTACCTTAAGCCCAGGTGTCTGAGACTAGCCTGTGCAACGTAACAAGACCACATCTAAAAAAAAAAAAAAAGGTTGGGAGGCGGGAAGAATAACATTTCTCTTAGCAATATTTTGTAGTATGCAGTAGAGTGGTCCTCCCTGGTTTTTAAAACGTTTTTCCTGATTATTTTGTTTTGGGGGGGTGCCATGATAAATAGAATTTTTAACAATTCATTGTTCCAGTAGTTTGCTGCTAGTATGCAAAAATGTAAATGGAGTTTTATATTAACTATATCTTAGGACCTTGCTAGATTCATTTAGAAGTTCTTTTGTGGGTTCCTGAGCATTTTTTTAGGTAGATAATCTTGCCATCTACAAATACAGTTCCCCCCCCTTTCTGATCCTTATGCTTTTTCTGGATGTATTGCAATGGCTAGGACCTCCTGTGTAGTGTTGAATATAACTGGTAAGAGCAGATATACTTGTGTTGTTATGATCTTATGGGAAAATGTATTCTATTTTTCACCTTTTAATTAATGTAGGCTGTAGATTTTTCTTAGAAACCCTTCATCAGTTTGAAGAAGTTCCTTTCTACTCCTGGCTTGCTGAGGATTTTTATAATATATGTGTTAAATACTCTTTCTACATTTGTTGAAATGATCATGTGATTTTTCTTCTTTAATCTGTTAATATGGGAATTACATTGGTTGATTTTCAAATGTTAAATCAACTGGGATAAACTCTACTTAATTAAGAATGCTTTTCATGTTTCTTTGGATTTGATTTGCTACAGTATTAAAGATTTTGCATTTATGTGCTACATTGGTCTGTAGGTATACTTTTTTATAATTTCTTTTCCTGGTTTTAGTATCAAGATAATGCTGGCCTTATGAAAACAAGTTGGAAAGTATTTTATCCTCTTCTATATTTTGAAATGGTTTGGGTAAAATTTCTTCCTTAAATGTTTGGTAGAATTCACCAGTGAAGACATCTGTATATGGAATATTTATTATGTAACAACTTTAATGGGAATAGGGTTATTCAGCTTACCTAATTCTTGTTGAAGTGGCTTTGATAGACTATATTTTTCAAGGGATTTGTGTATTTTATCTGAGTGTTCAATTCTGTCTCTCTTTTTTTTTTTTGTTTGAGATAGAAAGTCTTACTCTGTCACCCAGGCTGGAGTGCAATGGTATGATCATAGCTCACTGCAGCCTCCAACTCCTGGATTCAAACGATCCTTCTACCTCAGCCTCCCAAGTAGTTAGGGTACAGATATGTGCCACCATGCCTGGCTAATTTTTAAAAACTTGTTGTAGAGATGAGGTCTCACTATGTTGCCCAGGCTGGTCTCAAATTTCTGGTCTCAGGCGATCCTCTTACCTCAACCTCTCAAAGTACTAGGATTATAAGGACGAGCCGCCACACCCAGCCTCAGTTCCTTTAAAATGTCTGTAGAATATGTAATCCTAATTCCTTATAGTGTTGCTGATTTCTCTTTTTTCATTCCTTTTTTTTTTTTGAATGACGGTCTTACTGTGCCACCCAGGCTGGAGGATTGTGTCAGTACACAATCACAGCTTGTCACAGCTTTGACCTCCTGGACTCAAGCAATCTTCCCACCTCAGCATCTCAAGTAGCTAGGACTACAGGAACATGCCACCACACCTGACTAATTTTTTAATTTTTTTTATAGAGACAGAGTTTCACAATGTTGCCTAGACTAGTCTCAAATTCCTGGGCTCAAGTAGTCTACCTTCCTCAGCCTCCTGAAGTGCTAGGGTTACAGGTATGAGTCACTACAACTGGCCTATTTTTTTATTTTTGATCAGTGATTTTTTTCAAAGAACTATCTTTGTCTTTATTTTCTGTTTGTTTTCTATTTTTAAAAATTTCTTTCTTAACTTTTTGTTTTAGTCTGCTTTTCTTAAGTTTACTTTGGTCTTTTTCTCACTTACTGAGGTGACACTTTATATTTTTGTTTTTAGAATTGTAGGTTTTTTCCTAATACAAATATTTTAAATCTATAGATTTTCCTCTAATTACTGTTTTAACTGTATCCCACAAATTTTTGTATGTTGTATTTTTACTATCAATTCAAGATATTTTAAAATTTTTCTTGTGCTAGTCTGACCCATGATTTACGTAATGTGTTGTTTAGTTCACAGATGTTTGGAGTTTACTAGATATCATCACTGACTTTTTTTTTTTTGAGTTGGAGTCTTACTCTGTCACCTAGGCTAGAGTACAGTGGCATGACCTTGGCTCACTGCAGCCTTGATCTCCAGGACTCAGGTGATCCAACCTCCTCAGCTTCCTGAGTAACTGGGATTACATGTGTGCATCACCATGCCTGACTGGTATTTTAAATTATTTGTAGAGGAAAAACCCCATTCAGGTCCCCTCCCTCTGCAGGGAGCTTTCCTGTCTTCTAAATAAATTCCTGCTTACTCAAAAAATAAAAAAATAAATAAAAATAAATTATTTGTAGAGATTAGGTATTATGTTTCGTATGCTGGTCTGGAACTCCTGGTTGTAAGTGATCTTCCCACCTGGGCCTCCCATTACAGGTGTGAGTGACCGTGCCTGGCCCATTGTTGGCTTTTAATTTGATTTTTTTGAGGTTAGAGAACATAGTTTTCTTGCTTTGGGTTCTTTTATATTTATTAAGACCAGTATATGGTCTGTCTTATTTATTGAACACATTATGTGCACTTGAACACACGTTGTACAGGTGTTGAGGTGTATTCTATGCATATAAATTAAATCAAGGTAGTTAATCCTGTTGAGGTATTTGTTTATTTATTTATTGTCAATTTCTGAGGAAAACATGTGAAAACCACCTAGTACAATTATGGGATTGTCTATTTCTTACTTACATTGTCAATTTTTGTTTTATATATTTCAAGGCTATGTATTAGGTGGTTACACATGAAAGATTATTTCTTTCTGATGACCTTTTTATCATTATGACATGTCCCACTTTATCTTTGGTAATATACTCTTTTAGAGTATATCTTATATGACATGAATATAGTCACTTTGCTTTTGCATGTTACATCTTTCTCCATCTATTTACTATTTATTTTTACTATGTCATTATGTTTAAAATGAATTTTCTGTAGACAGCATATAATTGGGTCTTTTTATCTAGTCTTATAAGCTCTGCCTTTTAATTGGACTCGTAGTCCATTAATAATTTGATATAATTATTTCTATAATTTAATTTGGGCCATTCTATTGTTTTTTCTTTGCCCTTAAAATCTTTTTTTGTTTCTCTTTTTCCCCTTTCCAGTCTTCATTTGGGATGTTTGAATATTTTTATAATTTCATTTTAATTTACCCACTGGCTTTTTCTGTATACCTTTTTTACATTATGTTTTTAGTGGCTGAAAGGTGTCAGTGGCACCTAAAATGTGATCGTGAGACTAGCATCATCACCTGGGAACTTAGAAATTCAGATTCTCAGCCCACAACCCAGACCATCTCAATCAAAAACTCTGTGCATAGGGCACAGCAAACTGTATTTTGACATGTTCTCTAGGTAATTCTAATATACATGAAAGTTTTAGAATCATGGCTGTAATGATTATAATATACACCTGTACTTTTTCATTTTAGTGAGAATTAATATTATAAATGACTATACCTACATTTTAACTTGTCACAGTTTTATCAATTTAATTCTGTGTTTAACTAGGTTTAGTGTTTCTTGCCAGTCATTTCATATATCTTCTACCTGTGAGTTCAGATTTCATCTTCATGTTGACTTTTTAGGAGACATTCACAAATGTGATTTGTAATTGTTTATTTAGAGGGGAGGCTGTTTAGAGTTTGGGAGGGTATTGAGGCAGCACAACAGGAGTTAGCAGCCTCAATTCATGTACATTGTCATCAGATTATTTTCCTAACAATTCTCATTATCTAGTATGTAAATATGTCCAGTTCAGTGGTAGTAGTCTATTTGGATTCAGCCATTTACCCCTCTCATGCAAGCATATCATTATAATGAGAAGATGAATTAGTGTGATGTTTCATGTATTACTGATTCATTATTTATTCTACAGATATTAAGCACTTCCTATCTGCCCAACCCATTCTAGGCAATGGGTTTTCGAGGGTGAAAAAAAAGTTCCTGCACATGAAAGTTTACATTCCAGTGAGGATAGAGAGTAAGGTAACATGTAATATTATGTTAAACAACTTAAGTGGTATGAAGTGCAAAGCAAGAGGAAGCAGAATGATGACAGTGTGTAATATTTTATATTGGGTGGTCAGGGAAGAAGACTATGCTGAAGAGGTAATATGTGAGCAGAACCTCAAGTCAAGAAGTGCACTGAGAGAATAGGTCAAGAAAACATCCAGGGAAAGGCTTTCCAGATGCGAAACAACAAGTGTAGTGTTCTTAAAGTGGCAATAAATTGAGTATCCATTTGGCAGAAGTGGAGTACTAAGCAAGAGATTAGTGGAAGCTAAGGTCAGAGAGCATCAAACCATCTAGAGGGTTTTGTAAACCATAGTAGGCATTTTGGTTTTATTATAAATTTTGAGAAGCCACAGGAGTCTTAAGAAGAAAAATGAGATGATCTGATTTGGAACTAGAAAGGGGAAGGCAGATTAATGTCTGTGCTAGGTTAATAAAAGCAAGCAGTTTTATACAAAATTACTTTTATATGAAAACATATTAGCTTCATGGATCAATTGAAAATTTCCATTTTGTTGTAATTTATCACATAGTGCTTTTCAGGAAGACCTTTTTCTAACTACAAAAGTTTAACCATAGAGTTCCATTAACAAACATAGAACTTTATGTGTATTTTAATAAGGATAATAATATTGCCTGGTGTGTCTTTAGGTCTGAGGTTCCAGTGGAGGTTTTTAGTTATATTATTGACATTAAAACATTGACTTTGTAAAGATAATTCACTTAGCTTGAATGAGAGAGAACCCATGGCAAGAGAGAACGTTGTTTGGAAACTGTCATATTAGCTTGGATATAAAAAAGATGTTGTGATGTAAAGATGAAGTCTTCATTTTTTTGTTTTTCTGATTGTTACCTTACTGGTTATATATAATTACTGTATTTCCTTAATCAACTTTCTTAAGTTCTTATTCTTTGTGATCCCATATTTTTAGACTGTAGTAAGTGCTGTTAAATTCTTGAACTTGTTATATATTTTATTCATCTATTTTAGTTTTAGACATTTATTCTAATGAATAAATACAAAAGACACTTATTTCTTTATATCTTTCAGATTGGGAGTATGTATTTAAAAGCCGTCAATTTTCGTCAAAGCAAGATATTTATGAAGAGTCCAAAGTAGTGACAATGGGAAAAAGTCATTTTAGTTATACCCTTGAGTGCAACAGGTTGAGAAAAGACTGTGAAAGTGAGGACTGGTTTAAGAACCAGTTCAGAAGTCAGGAGATACATCCTAGTCAATTAATCATCACTCATAAAGAATTCCTCCCAGAAGATCAAATTGAAGAATATAATAAATCTTGGCAAACATTCCATCAGAATGCAGTCCTTGATATACAACAGCGTTTTCCCACCAAAGAAAAAGTACATAAGCATGAGCCACAAAAGCGAAGATATCGAAAAAACTCTGTTGAAATGAAACATAAAAAAGTCTATGTAGAAAAGAAACTTTTAAAATGTAATGACTGTGAGAAAGTCTTCAACCAGAGCTCATCCCTTACTCTTCATCAGAGAATTCATACTGGCGAGAAACCCTACACATGTGTTGAGTGTGGGAAAACCTTCAGCCAGAGTGCAAACCTAGCTCAACATAAAAGAATACATACTGGGGAGAAACCCTATGAATGTAAAGAATGTAGGAAAGCCTTCAGCCAGAATGCACACCTTGCCCAACATCAGAGAGTTCATACTGGAGAGAAACCTTATCAGTGTAAAGAATGTAAAAAAGCCTTTAGCCAGATTGCACACCTGACTCAACATCAGAGAGTTCATACTGGAGAGAGACCTTTTGAGTGTATTGAATGTGGAAAGGCCTTTAGTAATGGTTCATTTCTTGCTCAGCATCAGAGAATTCATACAGGAGAGAAACCTTATGTATGTAATGTTTGTGAGAAAGCCTTTAGCCATCGTGGATACCTAATTGTTCATCAGAGAATTCATACTGGAGAGAGACCCTATGAATGTAAGGAATGTAGGAAATCCTTCAGCCAGTATGCACATCTTGCTCAACATCAGAGAGTTCATACTGGAGAAAAACCTTATGAATGTAAAGTATGTAGGAAAGCCTTCAGCCAGATTGCATATCTTGATCAACACCAGAGAGTTCATACTGGAGAAAAACCTTATGAATGTATTGAATGTGGGAAGGCCTTTAGCAACAGTTCATCGCTTGCACAACACCAGAGAAGTCATACTGGAGAAAAACCCTATATGTGTAAAGAATGTAGGAAAACATTTAGCCAGAATGCAGGCCTTGCTCAACATCAGAGAATTCATACTGGAGAGAAACCTTATGAATGTAATGTTTGTGGGAAAGCCTTTAGTTATAGTGGATCTCTTACTCTACATCAGAGAATTCATACTGGAGAGAGACCCTATGAATGTAAAGATTGCAGGAAATCTTTCAGGCAGCGTGCACACCTTGCTCATCATGAGAGAATTCATACTATGGAGTCATTCTTGAATCTTTCCTCTCCTTCACCCTCCACATCCAATCAGTTGCCAAGACCTATAGGTTTCATCTCCTAAATATGCCTGGAATCTGACCCCTCTATTCACTTGCATTTCAACATCTTTGTTCAATGCACATTAATATATTTGACATGGAATATGGAAGTAGTTTTCTAGTTGCTTTCCCTGTATTCACCATTGTTTTTGTCATTTGTCCACCTTGCAGCCAAACTTGTATTTTAAAAAACTAAGTTTAATCCCATCATTTCTCTCATAAAAATTCCCCAGTGGTATCCCATAGTTCTTAAGTTAAAGTACACATTCCTCAAAATCACCTAAAAGACCCTCTACCAATACCTTGTTCCAGACTACCTTCTGAAGCCCTCATGTCACTATCCATCTCATTCCCTCGATACTTATCCAGAATGAAGAATGCGTATTCGAGCATCAGATGGATCTGGGTTCCAATTCTTGCCCTTCCATTTTCTAGTCCTCTAGTTTTGGGGGAGCATTCTGTATTTTGTAAGCTTCAATCTTAGGGTAATAATAATGTTACTACCTCAAAAGTTAATGGAAGAATTAAATGAAATAATGCATGTAAATTGCTCAGCAGAGTGCCTAGCATAAAGTCATAACCCAACTATTAATGTAAAATAAAAAGATATGATATAAAAAAGCGATAATCTAAAATAAACAGCAGCACAGGATGGGAAGATTGTAATGATTTTTGATTAGGAATAGCAGTCATTAAAGGTAGGTGATGAAGGTATCTGATGCAGTAGGATTGACATTAGATTCCATGAAGTAGGGTAAGATGGTGGCTTCTATTCAGCATGAACATATAGTAGAAAACTTCATTGAATATTTATCGGTGTTAAGTAGACAGATTTTTAAAACATCACCTTTAATAAAAACAGACAGGATTTACTGAGATGTATTCATCATTTACATGTAAGCAAAGGCAAAATAGAAATGAAAAAAAACCCCACAAAACTTGAAAAGATAAGCAACCAATGAAGAACAGAAAATAAAGTGTAGGTTTGAGGTTCTGTCCTAATTCTTGGTGAGTGAATTGCATCCAAACTATGTCATTTAAACTAGAAAAAGTTGTTAAATTGCTAAAATTCCAAAACTATAGGAGGAAAGACCAATACAATAGGCCACAGTCAAATTGCCCACAAACATCTTTGATTTGATATGCATTGAGTAAAATAAATATGAAAACCTTTAGGAGAGCATTTATGTTTTCCAGGTCTCAAAAGTTCAAACTACTCCCTGTTGCCTTACATTTGACCTGTTTTACTCTTTATATTACTTCCTAAATCCTGCAGGTTTCAGTATGTAATCAGTGCAATAACCAATTCACATATGACTATAGATACAAATAGAATAACGAAATTTTAATGGAGCATGAAAAGGAAGACTGGAATAGACATTTTATTCTCTTCTATGGTAAGTATACAGATGTCAGTAGCCCATACGTTGACCTACAGATTCTTTGTACCTAAGAAAATTCTAAGACTAATTTTTCAAGGTTTGAAACATGTGCAAGTAAACATATACATGTATACATTTCTACGGAAACACTGAAAATGCATAATAAAAGTAACATTTCACATCAGTGGTTTTACAATGTTGGGAAAATTAGTTTTCCTCGGTACAAAAAATAATCCACTCCTATACACAAAAGTTACTTCTGAGTAGGTTATCTAAATATGGAATAAATGGCTCTTAGGGGATACCATATTATAACCTTGGAATGAGAACAATACTTCTAAACAACATGAAATCTAGAAACTTCCACCTGATCTCATCCTACCCCCTGCCAGAATCTGATTGGTTTGGCTTCCTAAGAACTTTTTAAAGCTTTTATATGTTCAAAGTTAGTATAAACACAAGATTTTTTAAATCTTATAATGGGAGAAAATTTTATATATATAACATCTTTTTCTATGACGTTCATATCCTTAGCATAGAAGTATGCCTACAGATCACTTGAGTGACATTTCCCTCTATAGGCCTAGGATATGAAGAGGCAATAGATGACCAATAAATATGTGATATGTACTAAATCTCACTAAAGTCAGAAGAAATACAAGTTAAGCTCATGGAGTATCCTTTTAAAATACATTGTTAGCTGGGCTCGGTGGCTCAGCCTGTAATCCCGTGCCTTTGGGAGGCTGAGGTGAGTGGATTGCCTGAGCCCGCGGGTTCAAGACCCACCTGGGCAGCGAGACCTCATCTCTACAATAAATCAAAAAATCAGCCGGGCGTGGTAGCGCATGCCTTTAATTCTGGCTACTTGGAAGGCTGAGGTGGAAGGATTGCTGGAGCCCAGCAGGTCAAGGATTGCATCTCTACAATAAATCAAAAAATCAGCTGGGCGTGGTAGCGCATGCCTTTAATTCTGGCTACTTGGAAGGCTGAGGTGGAAGGATTGCTGGCGCCCAGCAGGAGCGGCCACTGCACTCCAGTCTGGGTGACAGAGTGAGACTCCAACTCAAAAAAATAAAATAAATATATTGTTAAAATTTTGCATTATAAAAGTATAGAAAAGGAGATACTTGAGGCGGAAGGATCGTCGGAGCCCAGCAGGTCGAGGCTGCGGTGGCTGGGAGTGGCCACTGCACTCCAGTCTGGGTGACAGAATGAGACTCCAACTCAAAAAAAAAAAAAAAAAAGAAGAGGAGGTACTTACATTCACTAATGTTGCATAAAAATGTTTACAATCTTTCTGGTCAGTAATTCATCAATTTGAGAATTTTGATTGGAAAAAAACCAAGATTTTCTTTTGCAGTTAAACTGGGCACACAACTTTGTCTTCCTTCCAAATCTCTTTAAACAGGACAATGTAATAAGTATTTAAGAAAAAAATGAGAGGGTTGTCAGCGAATGGGAGAATTAAATTTTGTAAAAGATAAAAGGGAAGTCTTCATTTATGAAACACAGCAGAAGCTGCTGCCTGAAATGTTTGAATGATGGAAGTTTTAACAATGGAATCCAGTGTGCCTAAAGGCTTCCCAGAGAAGCCAGTTGTAGGCTTTTCTATGTGAATGCTTTGTTAGTGTCCCTTGCCAACAACTTCATCCTCTCTTATATAAGTAGATGGAATGGGAACCTTGTGCCATTCACAAATATGAATTCTACGTGATATAAATCTAAATGCAAATCAGTAAAGTAAAAGGGTTAGAAGAAAATATAGTAAGGTATGTTTATAACTTCGGTATTGAACATGTTTTTCTAAAATAGACAAAAACAATCACCATCAAGAAGGATTGATGAAGTTGGCTATTTTTTAAAAAGTGCTTTTAAAGAAAGGATAAGAAACAAGAAGAAAAACATTTGTAATATAATACAAAGGGGAATATGTGAGAACACCTATAAATCAATCAGTAAAGGACAAATAACTTATAAAAATGGGCAAAGGATAAGAACTGGCAAATCATGGAAGAAATTGATGTCCAATAAATTTAAATCTTTGCTTAAACTTACTAGTATTAGGAGATGCACATTTAAACATCAAATATTGCCAGTGGTGTGGAGAAATAATCACTGCCACTTTGGAGGCAGTATAGTTTTAAAAATGCCAATTAAGCCTACTTTAGAGGATGTGGATGGTCACAAAACATTGGAAAGTACATATCCATCAACAGGGTCATGGCTAGAAGTTCTGTGCAGCAGTTTAAGAGGAAATGGAGCCGGGCTCAGTGGCTCAGCCTGTAATCCTGTGCCTTGGGAGGCTGAGGTGAGTGGATTGCCTG